TTTTTTGGTCCACTGCTCTAAGTACTGAGCGGTACAGAGCGATACCGAGTAGCTTACCGAGTACTGAGAAAGATGCAGAGTGAAGTACCAAGCAGAATACCAAGTATCAAGAAAGATGCAGAGTGAAGTACCAAGCATAATATCGAGTATTGAGAAAGATGCAGAGTGAAGTACCAAGCAGAATACCAAGTACCGAGAAAGATGCAGAGTGAAGTACTGAGCAGAATACTAACTTTTATAGCTATCTAATTGTTTATATCTAACATTAACATCATTTTCACTTTTGTGTGGGATGTTTATTCAAGTGAGAAGGAAGCATATAACATGTATTATAATTATGCCCATAATATTGGATTCAGTGTTCGGAAGGACCATCATGGTTTCTGGTCAAATTCGAGGAAAATTAAATCAAAGGACTTTGTATGTTCGAATGCTGGATTTAAGAAGGGCATTGACTTGAATTCCAATTTGAAATATCGAAGAGACAATACTAGAACTGGGTGTCCAGCTATGGTTAGATTTTCAGTAAGTCAAGGGAGTTTGGAAGGTTCATAAATACATTGAGAGCCATAATCACAAATTAGCTAGGCCTGAAGATCAACATTTTTGTTTAGATCATGTAAGAACATCAGTGATGATAAGGCCTCAGTTCTTAAATTCATGATAGAAGCTGGATAAGAACAGTTGATGCATTTTCGTATCTACGCGATGAAGTAGGTGGTGAAGGAAATATATGATTCTTTAAGAGGGATGCATATAACTTTATTCAAAAGGAGAGAAGATCAAAGATTGAGAATGGGGCATGTATTCCCTTATTGAATTATTTAAAGAACGGCTAGTTCATGATAACATGTTTGCATGGGATGTATAAACTGATGAAAATGATAGATTGTTGAATTTTTTTGGGTTGATGGTTTAGGGAGGATAGATTATGACTATTTTGGTGATGTGATTATTTTTGATACTAGCTATAGGCTTAACAAATATAATTTAGCTTATCCCCTGATTGTTAGAGTAAATAATCGTTGGCAAAATATTCTTTTAGGGGTTACTTTTTTATCGAATGAGACTATTGAATCATTTATCTGGTTATTTAAATTATTTTTATAAATAATGGGTGATAAACAACCCATAACGATATTTATTGATCATGACCAGGTAATGGCTAGGGCGATTGAAATTACATTGCCCCAAACATGACATAGGTTGTGCCAATGGCACATAAGCAAGAAGGCTCTATCCAAGATGTGGTGCAACAATAGCAACAACAAAGTTAGAGGACTTTTTCATAACTGTTTAAGTAAGTGTGATTCTGAGGAAGAGTTTGAGAAATTATGGGCTGAAATGATCAATGAAGGAGACCTCCAAAGCCATGAATGGTTGAAAGATATGTATAAAATCAGAAATAAGTGGTCAACAATATTTAATAAAAACTGTTTTAACATAGGCCTTCTTTCTAGATAGCGTAAAGAGTCCACCAACAACGTCTCTCATGGCATTTCCAAGGCAACAAGTTCTTTAACTCAATGTTTTCTGAGGTTAGAGAAGCTTATGATGAGTTGGCGTCGAAATGAACATGATGAAGATTTCAAATACATTCAGTTTGACATAGTTCTTGTAGTTAAAAGTAGCCAAATACTTGAGCAAGCTGCAAATTTTTACACAAAGAAATTGTATTTTTTTTTTAGGAGGAGTTCTTACATGGTGTTGGTGGGATGCGCATAGATCATGCATCTAATTATGGATTTATATTTTTTGTGAAAGTTGATAGAAAAGATTAGACTTCTCATTGGACAGTTCACTTTAATTCAACTGAAGGTACAATTGATTGCAGCTGTGGGAAGTTCAGTATGATGGGATTACTTATTCTCATTGTATGAGAGTAATAAGGCAATTAGATATCGTTAGAATTCCTTCGTAGTACCTCTTGCCCCGATGGTCAGCTAGAGCTAGGAAATATTTTTTTTGTGGACAAGTCACAGGCATTAGAAAGAAAGTGAGCCAAACACAGGAGGGTGGTGTTGCTGTGATATTTAAAATAATGTAAGTGGATTTGCATATCAAGTTAGCACACGAGCACATGGGAATGAAGATACAGAACAGTACATGTTGTCAGCAATGATTGAGATGACTGAAAAATGTTGACTTCATCCTTACAGGAAAGAAGAACAGCCAGCCATTTGTTCGCAAAAGAGCAGGAGAGGAACTTAAGAATGTTAAAGATCCTCAGAAGTATAAGCCTAAAGATATTTCTAATGCAAGATTGAAGATTCACTAGGAGATGAGAAAAAAGAAGAAAAAGAAAACTGTAGAGCAAGGCCCTGATACCACAATGTATTGTTCAGTCACAGAAGAGCCCATAGAAGAACCTTCAATACAGCCGCCTTTCACATAAATACCAGAATGCTTGATAGATGAGTTCATTAACAGTCAACCAAGCACACAACCGTTGGCTGAATATACACGGATGATGATGGGAATTATTGATGCAGAGAAGAATGTGTGATATGTGACTTATATTTTAAATATTTCATTGCACAATGTACTAATGATTTTATTGATGCAGAGAAGAATGTGTGATATGTGACTTACATATCAAATATTCATTGCACAACATATTAATGATTTTATTTTCTACATCTTTTTAACAATTTGGTCTTACTCGGTACACTCGGTACATTATGTACTTGGTATTATTTTTTACAGCTTTTTAAGAATTTGGTACTTCTCGGTACACTTGGAATTACTCTGTACCCTCGGTACTGGTCTTTAAATTTGATCTTATTCGGTACACTTGGTACCTTAATAAAGCATAACATTTATACTCACAAATATAAGTATTACAAAACTATTAATATATCCTAGGGAAATGCCATTCGTATGCTTCATGACAATCAAATCAAATTCTTCGACAAGGAAGTTCCTTATGGTTAATAGCCATTTGTAAGTTAAGAAATTGTCAGCATAGTTTGCAACTGTCAGGATACTTGAAGGTACCATGAAGTTTCCAAGGGGAAAAAATAGATTGAACAATAAGAATTTTATAAAATGCTGTAGAATATCATGTACTGGGGTGGACTCATTCAAACTGTGAATTTCATGTCTAATATCATTGGAAGTTATCCCACTTATTCTGCCACTTCCAACCACAAATTTTGTACCCCTATTGGGTAGTCCAATGATGAGAGCTACCTCATCAGAAGTGAAAGGTAACTTCTTTCCTTTGATTACGAAGCACTGCTTCTTGAAATTCCACTTGATCAGCAACATATGAACAAGAGAAACATTCTGACGGAAAACAAGCAACAAAAGGACTTGATGAAGGTGCAGCGGCCTCAAAACATCAACAAATTCTTCGTCAAATGTATTTTTTAAATGATCACAAACTTGTCTAAACGTATAAGCTCTGCACCTGTAATGAATTTTTGGAAAATATCCCTGCAATTATGGAACAATAGATAAGTATTTAGAGAAACACTGAGCAAAACACAGGATACATAAATACCTCTCGGTACCATGCAGAGTACCGAGTACTGTACTGAGCAGAGTACCGAGTATGGTACCGAGCGGTAATGAGCGAGTACAGTAAAAAAATCACTTGGTACCATGCAGAGTACCGAGTACGATATCGAGCGAAGAAAATGAGAGCAAAATAAAGTGAGAGCTCGGTACTACGCTCGGTACCATACAAAGTACCGAGTATGCTACCGAGCAGTACCGAGCGAACAAAATGAGCAGAACACTAGATAAAAAATAACACAAGCAAAAAATGAGAGCAGAACAAAATGAGAGCTCGGTATTACGCTCAGTACCATGCAGAATACCGAGTTAGCTACCGAGCAGTACCGAGCGCACAAAAATGAATACCCTAGATAAGTATTTTGAGAAATACTGCGCGTAGTATCGAGCATTTCCCTTCCATTCTCGAAACAAAATACAAAACAAACCGACTTACAAAACCATAAAAAAACGATTCCATCTGTGTGACAAAATTCTAAAAAGTATCAACTATAGTACAAAGCATGGTACCAAGCTACGAAAATTGACATAAAACACTTCAACGCAAGCAAGAAATTATGGACCTTCGGCATGGCTTCAACAACAAAAGTGATGAGGAAAAAAATGATTTCCAAACGAAAATGAGCAGCCGAAGAGGGGGAGCAAGGTCAACCGAAAGGGTGCGAGTTTTAATTTGTAACTTTTCAGATAAAAACTAATAAAAGAATGACTTTTTGCCTTCAATCCGGGTCGGGTTGTCGGCCGCGCGGTAAATGTAGAATTACGTGCTAAATAGAATGATTGGATTCGTCGGGTCGTAATGTGGCATTCTCCTATTGGATTTTGAATGTATAGATGCGTCCGGTGACCAAACCTCCTGGCTGGGCCACACTACCTTTACATCTTTAGTTGTGTATCACATGTAATATATCACATGTAATAATAATCTCTCTAGATAAAGACAAATACTCCCTATCAACCCCATTTATTTTTTTACGATCAAGATCATCACACGTGTCGCTCGAAACGATCGCTTAGTTGCCTCTCTAGTCCCATACAAATGCGAACTTTTATTACGTTCGGTGCAAGGACGTAGAGGAACGTCCGGTCGGAGGCAATTTTTCGTCCAAAAACTAGGTATTTGCTCGGTACAACTAGGTATTATTTGATAATAATGAAGAATAGCGTTCTCTGAAGACCAATACCGAGTTATACCGAGCTGTACCGAGAAATACCAAGTTGTACCGAGTTTTTCTGAAAAAAACTCGGAACAACTTTTGTATAACTCGGTATTTGCTCTGTAAAGCCCGATATAACTCGGTTTTGGGTCTTCAAATGATGGTATTCTTCGTTATTGTTTGACATTGCTCTGTATTTGCTCGGTACATCTTGGTATTTGGCGGGAATTTGCCTCCGACCGAATGTTCCTCTACGTCCGGCCCGGAGGACATAATAATTGTTCAATGCGAACTTCTACAAATGCCGACCGACCACGTGAAGTTTCGACTCCCGTACGAGAAATTATTGGGACAGTGGAGGAATTTTTTTTTTTTCGGGAATTTGGACAGTGGAGGAAGATGATGGTAGAAATTGCAAGAAGTGGGCACGTCGCATCGTTAGCTCTCTCTCTCGGTAGTCTTGCCAGTCTAGCGATGCTGGGCAGTCGGTCTTTCTAAAGCATCGTCTTCTGCGACCACTTTCATGTCATTCAGCCGTCTTCAAGCTCTTCCATCAGGGCATAAAGGTTTGGACTTTTGGGGGCCTTCTGAGTTATCTGCTGAAAAAAAAGTCGAATTTTCGTATTGAATGTTGGCAGATAATCAAAATTTAATCAGCGATTCTATCCACCACAGATTTTCAGTTCAAGCTCGGTCAGTTTACCCTTAGACTTCGATTAGCTTCTCCTCGAGTTAGCGCTTGGGGTTTAACGAGAAGTTACTAGGGTTTCGAGGCCTCTTAATCGATGAGTTCTGAAGCAAGAATGAGTAGAAAAATTTGTTTTTTGGTTTGGTTTCTGATTGTGTGGGGCTCTTGTTGGGGGAGATTTGTGGTGGAGAAGAATAGTTTGAAGGTCACCTCGCCGGATACTTTGAAAGGCGTGTATCAGTGTGCGATTGGGAATTTCGGCATTCCTCAATATGGTGGGACAATGGTGGGCTTTGTGACTTATCCCAAAACTAATAGGAAAGCTTGCAAGAGCTTTCATGAATTTGATATCTCTTTCAAAGTTAAGCCAGGAGGGTTTCCAACCTTCATTCTCATCGACAGAGGAGGTGGTTTTTTCTAATTATTGATTTATAATGCGCATATTGCGTTCTTTTTCCTTTTTTTTTCCCCCTTTTTCCTTGCTTTCTTGTTGCTAGATACATAATGCACTCCTTTTATCTGTTAATGCCTAGTTACGCATAATCGGGCATGGCATGTGTGGAGCTTCTTTTTCTTTTCATGAACAAATGTACTAGCTTTTTTATTTTTTATTTTTTTTTCTATTTTTCTGATTTACTGGATGATAATGTAATTACTTGTTTCTAATGCAGAAATTAATGTTGTTTGCGGTCATGTTAGCACTAGAACCTTGTGGATGTGATGTGAACATGATGAGTAGTGTTCGCATGATGCTTATAGCATGTTTACTGGTATACTCTTTAAAGGATTTGGAGTCATTATTGAAATAAATACTAACAGTTTCTTCCTCCTATGTAATTTTTTTTTTTGCTTTGTGAACATCTATAGTTTTATTTTCCTGATCATGGGACTACTAACGTTTTGTGGCCAGTAACTTGTCGAACATAATTTTTTTTTTCACCATGAAGATTTGCCCTAAATTTAGTCGCAAGCCAAAATTGTTTGTTGTTTCAAAAAGATATGCAATATTTGCATGTTGTTTCATTATGAGTTTTTTGGGATTTTATTATATTTTTTTTGGTTGTCATAATTTTTCCTTTAAAAAGATGCGGCACAATCTTTATATAATATCGGAGAGATAAAAGTTGTAAAACTCCACAAGCAAAATCATTGTGAAATTTGTAGCGATAACAATAAGACCTAGCCATCAATTGGATGAATTTGTATGAAGTTTTTAATTTGTTTTGCGTGTTAATCTTTTATTGTTTATTTTTTGCTCTTCATTATTGATTTAGGTCTCACCTAGTTTTAAACAATGAATTATAGAATTGGTACTCAGAGAGAAATAATTTTTTCTACACTTAGGAGCCATTTGGATACAAGATTTATGCATGATTTGAGCAAATCCTGTTCAAATGAGATTTAGGGAACCGTTAAATCTCACAATGAGTTAAATCCTCCTTTTCGCGCTTTTTGTCGTAAATCCCAGATTTGCTACATCCGAGAGTTTGACGGATTTACTGGGTTTAGCTGAAGAAGCACACGAACAGAAGAAAGATGGCTACCTTCGCAACGAGCAAGCTCTTGTCGTCATCATTACTTCCGATTAAACAGATGAACGATGACGTGTGATTTCGGATTTGACAAGAAGGAACGTCGTCGAAGGAGGCGAAGAAGTTATTTAGCGACTCATTCAAAACTCTACCTGTCACGCGAAGTAGGCGGCGAAGTCGAAGCGCAACGAACTGTACAGAAGGGGAAAAGTGAACCTAGCAAATTTGCAGCTATAGGAAGACAATGCAGAACAAACAAAAATATAGAGAATAAATTAATTTATTTTAATTAATTTCATTTAAATTAATTAAGAATATAGTGCAATTAATAAATATTTAATTATTTAAATTAATTGGTAATTAATTTAAATTCTAAATATATTATTTATAATGATTAGTTGTTAATATAACAACAACATCAAGCCTTTATCCCACTATGTGGGGTCGGCTATATTAAACATTTTTCTCCATTGTATTATGTTAAGAGTCAAATTCTCATTTATATCTAATAAAAAAAATTCATTTGTAATATTTTTTTTAAGTATTTTTAGGTCTGACTCTACATTTCTTAACATAAGTAAAATCCAATACATTTAATTTTCTTACCGAGTCATCAGAAGGCCACCGTTTTATGTGATCAAACCATCTTAGGAGACTATCTCTAATCTTATCTTACACATAAGTTACTCCAACCTTTTCACGTATATGTTCATTTCGTATCCTGTCTTTAAGAGTAAAGCCACTCGTCCACCCAAGCATCCTCATATCTGTAACACTTAACTTAATATTATGCTTCTCTTTTAATGGCCAACATTTTGCACCATTGCAGGTCTCACCGCCATCTTATAGAATTTTCCCTTAAGTTTGAGAGGGACTTTTCTATCACATAACTAGCCCAATGCATTTCTCAACTTCAACCATCCAATTTGAATTCTACTAATAATATCCCTATCCATTTCATCATCACTCTGAACAATAGACCCAATATATCTAAAACGTGTACTCTTATTAATGACTTGATCGCCCAAAGTCACAACACCTCTCACTAGATCTATTACTACTAAAATTACACTATATATATTTGGTTTTAGATCTACTCAAATGAAAACCTTTAGACTCTAAGGTTGACATCCATAATTCAAGTTTATCTTCAATTCCCTCTCTAGTCTTATCAACAAGAAAAATACCATCAACAAAAAGCATAAACCAGTGTACAACCTCTTGCAAATGTCTAATGAGAACATCCATGACTAAAACAAAAAGATATGGGCTTAAAGCTTATCCTAAATGTAATCCAACAAAAATAGGGAAATACTTGGTCAGATCACCTTGTGTTTGAACACAAGTAATAGCTCCTTTATACATATCCTTAATGATTTGAATATAAGCATTATTAATCCCTTTCTTTTCTAGAACTCTCTCCATAACACTTCTCTTGGAACTTTATCATATGTTTTCTCTAAATCAATAAATATCTTATAAAGATCCTCCTTATTTTCGTTATACTTCTCCATCAAATCTCTCAATAAATGTATAGCTTCCATAGTAGACTTATCCGACATGAATCCAAATTGACTTTGAAAAACATTAGTATCACATTGTAACTTATGCTCCATAATTCCTCCCATAGTTTTAAAGTATGAAACATATAACTTAATTCCTCTATAATTCGCACAATCATGTGCATCATCTTTATTCTTAAAAATAGGAATCAGCACACTCATTCTCCCTCATCTGACATCTTTTTAGTCTTCAAAATAATATTAAAAAGTTTAGTAAGCCAAAAAATTCTTCGATCTCCTAAGCATTTCCACACCTTTCTTGAAATATCATCAGGTCCAACAGCTTTTTTACACTTCATTGTACCACCAAAGTTGGACAGGAGTTTTTTAAAAAACTTGCACATATTAGTTGATCTTGTTGCAAAAAAAAAAAAAAAATACTTTTGATGTGAAACGATGCAAGAATTGTTTGTAGGAAATTAATAACTTGTGAACTTTGCGTAGCTAATTAAAAACGAATGCGTTCCAAGATAGATTGTAAGAAAATTTTCACGGAAGAACTACGTAACGTCAATTGATTACAATTAAAGCGACATGAGACTAACAAAATCATTTCAACAAATAAATAATAAGGCAAATGGCTCTTAACAAAAATCCACGGTTTAAGATCTAGATCATTTACCTCTGAATCCCTCACATGCACTCTTGATGTCGCTCGGCTTAGCGGAAGAGGATTACACACAAACTTAAGGATGCCACTAATAAACAAGTGATGCCGAGGGGACTTGTCGTCGGGGAAGGAGCCGGAGTTGGAGTCGCAGGTGTTGTCCGATGAGAACCCAAGGTGTTTGGGGTTGTTGGAGTTCGATCGTTTCAACGAGACAGTAGAGAATTCGTTTGACGTATCTTTCCACCGTTTCGTCGTATTCCAAATCAGGTTCGTAGAAAGGAGAGAGAAGAATGTCGATCTCTCATTGGGCATTGTAAGCAAAGCCATGATCAACTTCTGGATCGGCCATGCATGACCATGGGAGATCCTTGTCGTGTGTAGAAACGTTTAGGTGGAGGGGGGAAGCCGCCACTTGGGGGAATTTGACCCAGGAGGAAGGGCGGGAAGAGGGCTCGGGTGGGAGGAAGGGGAGAAGGGGTGGGTGGGCTAGGTGGAGGCTTGAGAGAGATAATTAGAAATCTGAATTTTGATTTCCAATTAGGTGGGATGGGAGGAAAATTAATATGAAAATCAAATTAATTCCATAATGGGGCTGGCGGTTAGGAGGGATTAAGGGGAAATTAATTGGGGTTAATTAGTGAGATTGGAGAAAGAGGTAGAGGGGGTTGGGTGGCCGGCCTATTAGAGAGAGGGGGAGAGGGATTTGATTTAAGTGAGTGGACCCCAAAGGGTTAATTAAGGAGTAACCACAAAATCTGAAAATTTAAATCATATTTTAAATTAAGAGAGGTTTCCTATCATAGATTTAGACAATAGGAAACTATTTGAATTCAAATTTTCAATTGAATTCGCAATAAGAAAATTTCCAATTTGACCAAATTTTTTTTAGGAAGGTGAGTAAAGGAATATTTGAAATTTGAATTTCAAATTTGGGGCTTGGGAGGTGGGCCGGCAGCTAGGTGGGTGGAGAGGGGAGGCCGGGGGAGGGAGGCCGACGATCAGGTGGGTGATGGTCGGCGGCTTGGGCGGCCCAAGGAGGCCGGGGATAAGGGGAGGGGCTCGGGTTAGGGAAAATTATCAAGAAAGACTTTGTGGGGAATGAGGCCGGTGGGTGGGAAGTTTGGGGAGGGAATTCGATGCAAGAAAAAATAAAAGAAAAGAAAGATAAGAGAACTGCGAACATTGGAATCCACCAAGATTGACGGGTATTGCAAATCACCCTCCTCGGGCTTCTCCTCTCATGAACTCACTTAGAGATCAAGCAAAGAAAAATAAGATTTCATTTCAATATTCATCATCCCATTACAATGCATAAGGCCTCCTTTAAATAAGCCAAGATAAGAAAAAGCTAGAAAGACACAAATGCCCTCAGGGCTACACAAGCGACTCAATACCCACAGGGGCAAACTAGGAAAATAAAATGCGAGAATAAATAAAATAAAAAATAAATCAGAAATAAAGGCTGTAGATCGTAGCCGTCGATCTGCGTCTCCGACGATGGTACACGTGGCGAAATCGGATGTTCTCATCATTCTCCCCAGGTGGGAGAAAACTCGACCCTGTCGAGTAAGCATCTCTAGAAGTCTCGTACCACTCCAGTAGGTCAGGATTTAATCTCAGCAGCTTATCCCGATCGATCAACATGTTCTCCTTCTCCGGCTTTCCTACCCATTGAACTAGATACCTTTGACGACCACCGTCTT